TGTTTCTGGGGAGCAGCTCCTGTCTCTGCTTTCACCTCGATGGCATTTCCTAGCTTCCTTCAGCTTTCCAGGGCAGACCCTTCCGGCCCCAGCAGAGACTCCTCAACCTTACTTCGAAGACCCTTTGGCCTCCTGATATGGACTCACACAGGACACTACACTGAGCTTCAGGCCTTCCACTGCAATCTTCACACCTCCAGTGCACAGATGGGCTTTCCACACCTTACTGTGTGGGCAGCCATTTTAAGCCAATCTTGTAAGTTCCTATACATTTGTATGTCTTGCATTAAATGTTTCTGTAGTGAGCACTGACTGATACAGGAACCAGCTGTGTAATTAGGGGGTTGGGACTTTCAGCCTCAACCCCCTCACCTAGATGATACTTATTTCTTCAGTGGTACTGAGGATTGAACCCATGCTCTTCAAACTGAGCTACATCTCCTGCCTTTTTTATTTTTTATTTTGAGGCAGAGTTTCACCCAGTTGCGAAATTGATCGTGTTGGTCTCAAACTTAATGATCCTCCTCCTCACCACCCAGAGTGCTGGATTACACGTGTAATTACCACCGTGCCTGGCTAAGATGGCCTTTCAAGATGGTTTTAATTTTGCTTCAAGTGTTTTTCTAAAATTGCATCCAGAAATCAGTTTTGGTTTTGTGTCATACGCTCAATCTCCTTTTGACAAACCTAGCTAGCTGTTTGGGTAATCTTTTGCTTGGCCTACAATTTCCCTTGAACACCCTTGCCCTATCTGCTCTGGGCCACGGGGATAACTAACCTGGGTACTGCATCTCTCTCCATGTGTTATTGCTCCGTAGTCCCTGCTAGCCATTGGCAGGAGACCAAGTTAAATCAGAGAGAAGGAAAAAAATGAGGCTGAGGTATTTCTTCTCTCTGTGTCACGTCTCCAGGCCTAGCTCTGTCCCACTCAGGAGATAGAGGCTCCTCCACAGCTGTGGCTATCACTGGGCTCTACCACTGGGCTCTAGCCACAGTGTGGCTATCACTGGGCTCTTCCATCCAAGCCTGGAGGAAGTTGCAGCTTCCTGAGTCCTAGTCTTTAGGCACCTCACCCTTCTTCATGTCCTCAGCAGGTAGCCTCTTCACTAAAGCACTTGCTTCCCTCTGGACCCTTGACTAAATCACCAACAGAAGCTCAGCAAGTGTGACCTGTCCTGAAGATCACTCTGCTAGGCCAGCGGCTTTGCCTCTTTGCTGTGCATTGGAACCACCTGGGGGACTTCAGTATCCATTGCTACTGGACTCCATACCCAGAATGTCTCATGTAAACGACCCACTGAATGGCCAACATCTCCCTCTCATCACATGGCCAGTGTGAGAAGCATTGCTTCTGGCTTGGACAACTCCTGTACAGAGAGGAGGTTTTAGCACACGATGAAAACTCAACCACATATGATCTGCCAAATTTTATTTTATAAATTATTGAAGTCTTCGGTTTAAAGTGATATTGTTTTCTGCTCTTGTGTTTACGATAGCATTTTTGAAACAAAAGAGAACAAAGCTAAATACATTTATGTAAGTTCCCTCAAGAGGTTAAAAATAAAGAATACGTGTTTCTAGAAAACATAGAAATTTCCTATATGTACCTTTGCTTCTGGACAGGATGTGTGTGTTGGGGGTAAGGTTGGCAGGAGTGTAAAAAGAAAATTAAAGAGCCGTGGAAAGATAACATAAGAAAAGTCTTCAGAATCACAATCTGTACTGAAAGCTATTCTCTTGAGATATAGTGGTAGGAGTATTGGTACTATCTAAGGACTTCATTTCAGATGCAGATCTAGTCTTGCCAATCTGCTCCAAGAGGAAACCCCATCAGTGCAGTCATTCACATTTTCTGGCTTATTAACATAAGCAGTGGTCACTGGCCTTAATGAGAACATTTGAAGTGCTCAGTGTTCAAAGCACCTTTACCATTTAGCAGGCTTTGAGTTCTAAAAGAACCACCCTCCTCTTTTCTTTTTTTTTTGGTCTTTTTGAGACAAGGTCTTGCTATGCAGTTCAGGCTGGCTTTGAGCTCACTTTGTAGTGCAGGCTGGTCTCAAACTCACAACAATCCTCCTGCCTCAGCCTCCTGAGTGCTGGGATTACAGGTGTGTGCCACACCCTCCTATTTTCTAAACAGACATTTGTGAGTAGTGATTGGATGATGTTTTCCAGAGAGAAGACTGATTCTACCAAGCCTTTCATCTCATTTTGAAGGTTCCACAGAGATCTCATCCAAACAAATGCTGTGCCTATACTGGCTAGCTAGTGTTCCATTAACCTCAGTGGCATGAGACCAAAAACATGTGCTTTTTACAGTTTGTGGGTCACTGGGGCAAGCCACTGATGTGGCTTTCTTGCACATGTCTCACCTGCTGCAAACAACAAGCAGCCCAAGTTCATGTCTGCTGACATCATAATGGACAAAGAAAGTCACGTGACCAAGGTCATAGTCCAGAGCTTTATAGGAAAGACTAAAGCATACACAGCCAAGGGTGTGGAGACAGACAGAAACGATTCAGAGCCAATAATTCAATTTATCAGTGTCTAAAATAAGAGTCTGTTAAATAGTGTATCCCAGTGTCATGTTTACATAGAATTTCTGTCTCTTGGGGGCCAGTTACCAGCAAGTTCTAGAAACTCATGCGAAAGATGGCTTTCCGCATCTGGGCAGATGGCAATGCTCACACACAGGTGGTCTGCCCCAGCGGAAGAGAGGTGATGTTGGCTTTTCCTGGCTGTCCTCCCCTAGAATATCAAACTATCTCTGAAGAAATAATCAACAGTTTTAGAGGAGGGGTGGGTTGAAAAGGCGAAGCCCAGAGGATTTTTAGGGTAGTAAAACTACCCTGTATGATGCTGTGACGGGGGATAGCATCACAGTATGGTACTATGCTTTTGGCAAAACTCAGAGAGCTTTATAGCACAAATATCAATGTTTGAGAATTTAAAACATTCATTTAGAAGGTCAGGAGTCCTGCTTGGATGTGGAGATAGTTTAAAAGCTTAAAGTGCATGCCCAGGTAGGTCCATGTGACCCAAAATTCAAGTCCTGAACAAAGCTTTGCCATCAAAGTTTGAAAGAGAATTAGCATAAAACCAAGCGACATTCATAGGTGATCCACAACATGAATCAACAGCAATCTGGAACATAGAAACTAGAATATAAGAGTCCAGGCTTTCAAGACCTAGGAAGGTCTTGACCAGGACATGACCAGATTTCTGCTTCTTTGGCCTCCTTTTGGATAACTATTCCTCCATCTCTTGGTCAACACACTAGGCTTCAGCTGCACCGCATTCTCCAGGTTTCTAGAACACTTCAAGACCTTTCCTGCCTCAGTGCCTAGCTTGCTGCTCCTGAGGCATGGAAAGCTGCTGCCCATCTCTTCACATAGCTGACTTCTCTTAAAGCTTCAGTTTAAATGCTCCCTCTTCAGTAAGGAGCGTCTTGGTCCCTCCCACTAGAATGTAGCTCTGTGCTTGTTTTTGTATTGTATTCTTCTCACTGCCTGAAACACTGCTTGGCCCACAGTAGGTGCTCAATAAATATTTATAGGATGAAAGGGCTATTCATTTTTCTTAATGTTTAGTTTGTAATTCTGGTAGAATATGGACCTTGGCTTTGGAGAGAGTGCTGTGAGTACAGGCAGAAAGTCCCACAGCACACACAGAGGGGAGGGTGGCTGGCCCTTGTTTAGTGGCTCTTGTTTAGTGGATTCGTAAGAATGCATGTAAAGTTCTGGGCTAGCTACTGCCACAGTCCTAGCACTCTAAGAAAAGTATAAAAGCAGTTTAATGCTCAAGTGCTAGTCAAAGGCTGCAAAGGGGAACAGGACACACCCCAGCTGATAAGTAGGAAAGTACCCGTGTAGAGGAAGAATGATTGGATAATAGGGCTTTGGTTCAAAGTGGCAGGGAAAGGTAGGATAGATTCAAACAAAAGATCCATAGAAAATCTCACTACTGGCAGGAAATGAAGAGGGCATACTGCCTCTCCATGGAAGTCCTGATGCCTATTGTCATTCAAGACAAGAATCCCTGCATTGAGAACTTAATCCCCAAATCATATGCTGTTAGTGTTTGGAGGTGGGGGCCTTTGGGAGGTAATGAAGTTTAGATGAGGTTATGAGGATGGAGCTTCCAAGATGGCACTGCTACCTTTAGAAGAGGAAAGGGACCCATGCACACACTCTTTTGCTGTGTTGTCATCACCATGTGATGCCTTCCACCATGTTATGACACTGTAATAATTTACCAAGTGCCAGTATCTTGATGTTGGATTTCCCAGCTTCCAGAACTGTGAGAAATAAATTTCCCAGTCTCAAATATGTTGCTATAGCAGCAAAGAGTAGACTAAGGCATACTGGAGCATTTCTGAAGCTGCTACATCTTAGGAGATCCAGGTTGGGAACAAAGCTTTATTCTCCTGAATCCTGATGCTGTGGTGGAGCAGTAGGTTCTAGGTTATGGGAGAAGGAAGTCTCTGCTGGGTCCCAAGCAATAATCTCAGATTTGAAGACCCTGATAGGTGCCAGATGGGCAGATAAAGGAAGATCTCTCCTGGTATAGGTATACCTTTGCAACGTGGGGCTCCTAGAGGATCTGTCCAAGATTGATGATCCCAGAAAACCTATTAGGGGGTTAACCAACAAACAAAGTTTTCCCAATCTGTGCAACCAAGAGAATTGTCTCTCGTAGACTAGACTTATACCTTCACATCAGCAGGTAAATGAATTCTTTCTCTTAGCTCAGCTTCTTTGGGGCTTATCCACTAAACAAGAGGCAGCCACCCTCCCCTTGAACCTCATGTTCTCTGGTCAAAGAGACTTCAGTGGGCTGATCTAACCTGAGGCCACACATAATTCATGCTACTCATTTTTAGGCACTCCATAAGTTGAGGGAGAAGAGAAAACCCACAACCAGAAAGGATGATCCCAATTAAGGTTCAGCCAATAGAGAAGGCAAAGAATATGTTAAAAAATGTAAAACATCACAATCACTGCAGAATAAATTATTTTACTAACAGACAGATCACCATAATAAGTATAACATAAAGCCCAGTCACAATATTTAGAAATACACTGAAACAAAGTTATAAAAAAAAAAGGCTAGAAGTTAGGGGGTATAACATTATACCAAACAAATTCAAAGGGGGGAAAAACCTGGCTTGAACAGCAACCATAATATCAATTAAAATAAAATTCAAGGGCTGAGAATGTATCTTGGTGTTAGAGAGGTTGCCTAGCGTGCATGAGGCCATGGGTTCAAGCTACAGTATTCAAAGACAAAAAAGGCAATTCAAAGCCAAAAGCATTAACTACATCAAAGAAGAAATAGGTGTGAGTCAGCTTTCAATATCTGGGACATGTTATCCAACACTCACATCTTAAAGGAGGAGATGTTTCATTTGGCTCACAGTTCCCCTGGATTTAGTCTACGGTCAGCTGGCTCCAAGGCATGGTAGGGTAGAGATGCTTAATTCACGGTGGTGGGGAAGCAAGGCAAGCAAACAGTGCCAGAGAAAAAGAGGCAAAGGACCAGATATGGTACACAATGTCGTACCTCCATGACCCAACCAGATATAACTTGTAAGTGTCTTTTATTAATCTCAGTGGCTCCCAAGCCAACTGATTTGACACAATTAAGCTTAACCACCACACACATAAACATGGAATAAGGAAAAAGTTTATCAGTGAAGAAGCTCTGTAGAGGACATAAGTAAATCTTAATAGAATAAATAATATAGCAGCCAATATCCAAGAAATTCAAGGAGAAACTAACAAAAACATTGATGGTAAGGTAGTCTTAATAGTATTTCAAAATATGACAGTTCAAGTGTATGATTAGGGCAAAGATATTAAAGATCTGAAATAAATTAAATTTTTTCTCCTATATTCATGTGACACACAAATAAGTCATATATTTTATTAACAGCATTGGAGAATACTGATAAGCTTCTCAAACTGGATTTTATTTTACTTTACTTTGTTCAAAAATAAATCAACAATAAAAAGATATTTTAAACCTTCTAATTATTGACAAATTAAGAAATCTCTTCTATATAACTCCTGGTTCAAAACACAAATCAAAATAGAAACCACAAGTACCCAAAAGAGAAAAGGAAAAATATTATATCAGCTGTATCAGAAACAATTAATGCAACATTCAGGGGGATATTCACAGTCTTAAATATTTTATTGTTTAAAAATAAAACAAAGTGAAACCTATAAACTCACAACTATCACAACACATTTGAAGCAATTTGCATCTTATTTTTACTTGATTGTTGACAAAATGAACAGATAGGCCCTTGTGTTTCCAAAAATCTTCAGGTTTTCTTCATCCAATCTATTTTCATTTCTTCTCTTTGTCAATGTCACAGTGAGAACGGATAAAGTGGTCAAGTATTTGTCTGTCTGAAAATTATAAGGAAAACAGGAAGAAAATTTTCTTGTAAGTATTAAAATGCTTAATAGAAAAATTCTAGGAAGGAGGCAAATACCTGATAGTAGTTCTACATTCATGGCTTTGATAAGAATTCAAAAGAATCAAAGGATATTATGCCTAATACCTAAAGAGGCATAGTTGTATAGTTGTTAAAAGGAGTAAAATCGATATTCAATGGATCTGCAGCTTTATGGGAAGGAACGTGGACTTTAGAATGAACAACATCTAAGTTTCAGCTCTGCCCTGGCAAGTATGCATGGGCTGTTTAACTTCTCCCCTTCTTCATTTCCTTGTCTTTGACTAGAGATCGTGGTATGTACCTTGCACTGTTGGAGGAGTGGATTAAGGACATGTATATGAAGCACCTACACAGCGCCTAGCCCAACAAAGACATTTAATAAACAGGAGCCTCATCCTTTGTTATTAGGTGCTCAATAACAAATGGGGATGATGAACAAGGGAGACTTGTTCCAAGGTTTTTGTAGGAGTGAGTGCCGTTTTCCAGCCCTTAGCATTTTGGAGATAGAAATTTTTCAGGCTTTGCTACTCTTAAGCACTAACTGGTTGACCCTGGAAAAGCTCTTCAACTCCCTTCCCTCCATTTCCCCTTCCGTGAAATGAACATCTGTGCAGCAGTTCTGAATACTGATGACTCCCTAATTTTAAGAACATACTTTGGAAAAACGTAGAGTGGCGCTCCAAAGCTTTGTTAATTTCTATCTGTGCATCCGAAACCAACAAGAACCTTCCTATGCTTCTAGTCTGACCAAAGATCACTTTAATTACAACTTATGATAGTACAGCTATGTATCTGTCTCCCATCTCAGACGGCGAGCTCCCTGATAAAATAGGTTTACTTTTTTATCCATCCCTTATATCTAGTAAGCATCACAGATATTCAATCAACGAAGTTGAATAAATAATTAAATGTATTCTTAATGCTGAATCACAGACTAGCGAGAAATCCCTCCCAGATAGCCATATTCCTGAGCATTTTGGCTGGAGAAAGAAAGGGAAAGGAAGCTGCAACTGAGGAAGTTCACAGAAAACCAGATTTAAGAGAGTGTGTGATGGGTTTCCGCCCATACAAAATTCTGCCAAGCCATCATGGCGGCCATTTTGCATGGCGTGGGGGCCCACAAAGAAAACGTGTCCCACCCTAACTGGTTTCCGCCTTCTTCCTCCCCACCTGACCACTTCTTCCGATTTTCTTTTGCTCATGGGCGTCCACCCTTTCCCAATCGGTGCCTATAACGTCAGCTAAACCGCCCCCATAATACTCCACCCCCACCTTGCCCAGTATATGCTTTGTTCTCGGCTTCCTCTCTCAGAGGGTCCTTGCTTCTCTGAGCTGCCCTCCCGTGCAAGCAATAAAGGCTTTCTTTATCTTTGTTCTCTCCCTCGCGCCTAACCTAACAGTGTGTAGTTATCTGAAGTGGGTAGATGACCCAGTCTTTACCGATGGAGAAATAATTCTAAGAATAAGCTTTTGCTGTGGTCTAAATCAGATCTAGGGGACAAAATTTGTTAAAATTGTTTGGACACTAAAGACACCTAGTTTAATATCCTCAAGTTATAAGTAAATTGAATATATAGGTTGACCATCCCTTATCTGAAATGTTCAAGACAAAAAATGTTTCAAATTTCAGATTTTTTTGGATTTTAGAATATTTTCATAAACACAGTGAAATATCCTGCAGATGGGATCCCAAGTGTAAGCATGAAATTCACTTATGTTTCATATGCATCTTATATACACAGCCTGAAAGTAATTCTATAACATACTTTTACTGCAGATGCACTTTTTTAAAGCTGCAACCCATCACATGAAGTCAGGGGTGGAATTTTTGGCCTGGTACGTGATGTGAGTGCTTCCAAATTTTAGGATTTCTGACTTTTGAATTAGGGATGTTCAACTTGCACCAAATGCTGGTAACACACAGAGTTCATGGAAACAGAGCGTTCACCTTCAGCTGCTCCCTCCTCCTTTCTTCTTCCCTAGCTTTATTTATTGCCTGCCTTCTTGAAGTTTTCTCTATCCCTGCTCCACCTGCCATCGATCCACCCTGACTTGAACTATTACCTAAGGGAAAGGTTTTCCCTTCTCCTCCTGCTCCTCCTCCTGCTCCTCCTCCTCTTCTTCCTTCTCGTCTTTTTTCTCCTCCCCTCTTTCTTTTCTGTCCTCCCCCACTCCTTTTTCCTCCTCTCCTCTCTCTCTGTCTGTCTTTGTCTCTATTTCCATCTCTCTCTTAAAATGCTTCTGTTCTCGGCTCCTATTCTATCAGGACCTACTACCTATACAGGAACCATCTAGTAAAATGATTTAAACTGGGTTGATAATTCAGCCTTAGACATCTACCAGGTATTTTATATTCTGTCTATCAGCTTAACCCCACCACAAAAGAATACTGTTGAGCTATCCACCAGCAGAAAAGCATTTATGTCATCCCCAACAGTAGAAAATGACAAGAGATTTGAGACACACAGACTCAAAGGGAACCTCCTACTTGCTTGTCAGCCTCTATCATAGCTGGCTTGATGAGTGAGCCATTCTAAAGCAGAGCTGGGAAAGAAAAGCTAAAAACCATGGGAAGCAGCTTCTCTTTCCATTAGCCCAAGCAGCACAAAATAGTGAAGCTCTGGCCATGAGCCTCTTGTTACCAACCTCCAGTGCTACACTAAGGAAACCAGGAAATAGAATACCCAGGAATAAACAAAAAACCTAGCCCATCTTAATGTTATCTTGATTGCTAATAGGTCGTATGTCACCTCTCTGGGGAGGAAGACCTGACTGAGTGGACAGATAGTGCTAGCTAGAAAGGTCATCTTCTTGTAGGTATCTTGGAGGACATAGGTGCCAAGTTGAGCAGAGGTTTCACAAGTAAGGGCACTGCCAAGGCTCAGATTGCACATGACACACAAACAAGAGACCAAGATGCCTGGCAGCTACCATGGTTCCACACAGCCACAAACAGTGGCTGCATCTATATATGGCCAGTCTCTGGGCAGATGGGAGCATCTGCTTAGGAAAGACAAAAATTCTCCTGCTATACTGTCCAACACATGTGGCTCTTAGAGTTAAAATGAGCTCTTTGTAAAATGCAAAGGATGATTTTGTAAATGTGAACCAAAGCTGGGGAAAGAACAGGAAGGCAGCTTGGGTTTGGTGCCAGCTTTCTACTCTGCCTTTGGGGAGAATGGTACCAGCAGACCTTCTGGAGCCTGCTGGTTTCCTTCTGAAGTGTCAAACTGGCCCAGAGGCATCTGCTGGGAGGAATGAGGCTCTCAGTGGACCATACATACTGTAACTTCTGCCTCAATAGGAAGCAAAACATCTGCTTCTCATACTTTGCTGAAACCCAATTTTTAGCACTTTTAAGGGTGGAAATACTTCCTTTTACTCCAACACAGACACACACACACACACACACACACACACACACAAACACAAACACAATCTGAACTACGAAAATGTTTAAGTCTTGTTTGCAGCAGGATATCCCAAGGGGGATAGGTGTTCCATGAAAATTTCAAAGGAGCCAGCATTGTGACTGGCTGGGGATGGGTAAAGGATGGTGGCTGGGCTCTGAGAGAATTAGGTGGGAGAGCTGAAAGGCTGCTGAGCATCTGGAGCAAGTCCTGAGCTTAAGCTTGACCACATGACACAAAATAGCCCATGATCCCCCAGTACCTTTAAGCACAAAGTGGAGCAGAGGAGATGTTCTGTCAGATGTTAGAAAAACATTAGAACCTCTACTTAGATTTACTTTTGAATTCCTCCTCTAAGATGGTATGTTTCCTAAAGGACGTAATACGCTAGTGTGGTGTTATATAAGCACACTTCACATGATTCATACGAGTGCACGGTGGGACGGGGGTATGTGCTCAAACATGAAGAGTAACAATGCATGTGATTGTGGGAGGGTGCAGGGTGCAGGGTGCGCTGAGATTCAGGTATGGGAAGAGTTGTGTTTTTTCTCCTCATACTCTTTCCTTCCTTAAATGAACACTTTACAGGCTCTCAGTTAGACTGACCAGTTGCCCCTGAGATACTCCCAAATCTATCCCCACCACTTAGCTGCAAAATGTGATAAGTCTTTGTTATGAAAAGTGACACCATCCTGAGAATAGCATCTGCTGTCTTTGCCAGTGTGAAATATGAAGGTTGTCATGGACCTTAAACAGCCTGTCACAAGAAAGTACCACTAAATAGGAAAACGTAAAAAAACAAAAAAACAAAAAAAACAACAAAAAAATACATGGGATAGTGCAATCATTCGCTGGATAAATAAATTAGCTATGGGAAAAAGCAATTGATCCAAAGCAACTCAACCACTGGCAAAATGAAATCAGAAATAGGTGAAAAGGTCTATGTCTTCTTTTTATAAGTGTGTATATCATCACTGGAGCTTCTTTAAAGAAAATATTTTTTTCAATGGATTGGAGATTTCACAGTATAATAAGGTTTTCTTGAAGCACTATTTTTCTTTCTGGTGAACATTCAGCTTTAATGCCTCAAGATGGAAACAATTGCTATTTGGCATAAAGGAATGTATTATGGTCTGTAAATGCATGAAATGCTGACTTATGCTTTTGTCTTACCTTTGTAGGAAACACTCTGAAGGTACTCATTGACTTGAGAGGGAGTAAATGAGTTCAGGATGGTTAAGAAGTCCAGGTAGGCTTTCCCATAGTCACTTTGGTATATGGTCTGTTGCTTCGTGCGTTCTTGATTCCTCATGTAGCTGTGCAGCACAGAAGGAACTGCAGAAACACAGAGAGGAGGAGAGACATAGTGGCTGTTACTTGAGCAGAGATCTCAGGCCCCTGTCTCTGAACACGTCCCTGATACCCTTGAGCCCAACTTGGACCTTATTCAGTATCCTTAATCACACTGGAAACTACGTCATGGTATTAATCTGATTCCTCCTCTGGCTAGGGGCTGTGCCCAGCTGCTGAAACTTGGCTGCTAGAAGTGGAGGGATGGAGACAGTGGCCAGAAGGTGGAGTTTGAGCACGATGTTCAGAACAGAAGTTCTCCCAGAACTCTCCTCATGTGCAGGGCAGTGGGTTAGGATGATGACCGTGACATTACCACCTGCTTACTAAACAGCAGCCTTTAGTTGCTTCTCTTTCTTTCAGGACGTCTCTTGTGCAGAATTGGACTGGCCCACTAGAAGCCTCCTACCAGTGACCCAGGAGTCTAAGGAGAAACAGTTTTGAAGAATGATGACATTAGGGGCTGTGGATTTGGCTCAGTGGCACAGCGCCTGCCTGGCAAGTACAAGGTCGTGAGTTCGATTCCCGGTACCAGAAGAAAACAAAAAACAAACAAACAAACAAGCAAAAAGAATGATGACATTTACAGCCAGTACTCCACTGTCTGCTTAGATTGGTGAAGTAAAAGGTACAGGCAAATCTAAGTCAGTTTTATTCGATTGTGAATATTGTTTGCTTAATATGGATTCTGAGATCTGTGAAACTATCATTAAAAGACAGACACTGTGAAGAAACTAATTTCTATGACTGGCTCAATCTTTATAAACCTTAAGAACTCTTTGACTGTTGCTTCTAGTTCCAGGTGTCCTCTTTGAAGAGTCATTGGCCAAATGGAAGGACCAAACCAATGAAAGTATTTCATACTCCCTAAGAAGAGTGCTTGTAGGTCTGAAAATGCTTTAAGTGGGAAAGAGAGGACTCAGAAAGCATTTGACTAGGTTTTCATAAAATCACAGATTTCTACTAGTTAACCTCCCTGGGAAGAAGTAGTCAGTGGCTGGAAGTTTAGCAAGAAATACTCCAACTGTTAGAACTCATTAATTGTTGAAATATTGATGACAAAGGAAGGAGCTGCCTTGGGCTTCAGGGTACTATCCTTGGGTGCAGAGGCTGAGATGGCGTTGGGTGGAGACCTTTCACGTATGACTTAAGTGCTCTAGACTGGCTGTGCTACCTCCCAACACAATTCTGTTACTACCTGATCTGAACTCTATGCCAGGAATAAATCACATCTCAGATTGACACCAAGTTATCTTCTTGGAGATGACTTGCTTGGCCATGGAACTTTAAAAAATTAGGAACCAAGATCTTAAAAGAATGAATGCTAAATCTGAAAATGTCTGAGGCCATGTGCCATGAGAATACCCTTCCAATGAATAATACCTCTAATTTGATTCCTGCCCAATGTTTTCCTGTCATTTTATGGCAACTACACACCTCGTTTTATTTTATAGGGAGGAAGCGTTCCTAACCTCAGCTATTGTCCCTCCCAGGCAGACCCACATCACTCAGCAGTCCTCTGAGATGCCCTGTTCCTGTCCCCAGGGCTTGAGGCTCTGAGCCACAGAAGAAAGGCTCCAAATACTCATCTGAACCACTGGCCTTCCCATGACCACCACCAAAACTGGATTCCATGAAAACCAGCCTGAATTATATAGTAAGATCCTGTCTCAAAAAAGACCCTCTGGGTTGAAGAAAACTCTTACAGCAAGGGGATAGTGAAAGTGGGACAGACAATTGCAACTGCTACGTTTCCAGAATTTTTGTGCAAAGTGTTTTTCAGGATGCAGGCGCAAACCTTGGGAGCCAGGCAGAACCAAGTCACCCCTAAGCTGAACCTAAAGAAGGAGAACAGGACCTGGGACCTCTGTTAGAAGTGAAGGCTGCCGTCAACAATTGCAAGATGGACCAGAATAACTGAGGGACGGGAAACTGCAAATAGCGCAGAATCACACCTTCTGTCAGGTGGGTGTGAGCAGTGAGTATTGTTTCCTGGTTATGGACAATGGGCCCTTCAGTTCCCCTCACCCTGTGCCCTTTGACTGATTCCTTTGCTACATACATGGGCACCGGGAGACCGAGCTGAGCTTGCCCCCCTGCCTCCTTGTTTAGAATGAAGTTTGCTCATATACTTGGGGTTGGGCCAGGGTCTCAAACTTTCTAGACAAACGCTTTGCCACTGAACCACATCCGCAGCCCCTTTTTGTAAAAACTGAAGCCATAGTATTGGCTTCTGTATGTCAGGCAGTGAGGCCCTTGATGGGTGGGTATCAGTAGACTCTACAAAATTGTATGAAAACTAAATGTCTACTTACCTAGGCCCCGAGAAGCAATTGGCAGGCTTGAGTAGCATCCATATCTGAAACTAAAATCTTGTAACTCAGGAATTTTAGCTGGAATTTGGTAATTCCGTCGAAATTCAGTGTCTAGAGGTCTGGGAAGGAACTTTTTCCATTCCAGGGACACCTGAGAACCTTTCTTAACCTTTTGAGCTAGGGTGAGAGTGGAAACAAAGTTAGTAATTACTCCCGGTGAGCTATTTTTGAATAGCATTTCACCATTTTGCTTCTGACAGCAGCTTCTAATGTATCATATTAAAACTCACTCTTGTATTTAGAGATATGGTCAGGCACATGAAGTATATGCTGAAAGGATTATAAGTAGTTTCTAACCAATACATTTGTCCATTAGCAATGTCCTTTTGTTCTGCTTGATAGTCACAGAAGGAGTCGATCACTCCCCCTACATCTGCCTTGTCCCTAGGGAACAGAGTGAGAGGTTTGGGATATGGCTAGCACTGCCATATAAAACAAAAGATACCAAACTGAATTGAAGATAAACAATGAGCAATTTTTCGCATAAGTATGTATAAGTACTCATTAGCTGCTAGGCAGACTGTTTTTTAATTTGCGTAGTCTGGCAGCCCTAGATGGCTTGGTGTGTATCATCCCCATTACATGAAAAAGAATCATTCAGAGCTTATCTCTTACTGATGGAGGGTTAGGTAATACCATTGTCATTAGAGAATAACAACATGATTATTTCTTTAAACTATCGCTTCTAAAAATATTCATTAAATATAGCATCATTAAATATCTGTGAAGCACTAATTAAACACCAAGCAGTTCTACAAACGCTGCCAGGTTACACAGAACATCACAAGCCATCTCACTTAGAATATGCTCACCGCTAATTCTTCCTGCAAAACCTTAATTCAGACACCTACAGCAACATCTTATTCAGAAGGAGAGAGGTTAAAAACATAAGTTTGATAATCAATGATGAAGAGTGCAAATTACTATTGACACTAGTCAGTTTTCTTCCAAATTAATTTTTCACAGATCTTTTTCAAAAGCAAATTCCAATACACACTGTATATCAAAAGATTCATAGAGGCATCTACTGGTGTACATAGTATACCAAAGGATACTTAATTGCATCTGCCAGCACCAGAGAATACTTTAATATTGATTTTTAAAAATGATCTGTCTCTGGTAATCTGAACAACTACTTTGAAGATAACAATATGCAATATAATAACCATTGTTAGTTTCCTATCATCTTGTTTTGAAATTCTGTATCTTTTAAAAAATTCTCTTTAAAATGAAAAAAATAAAGATGTGTATAGACCAGCAGAGGAGGTGTGGATTCCACCACATGCTGCCTGTTTCTTTGGATTACCTAGGAGAAAAAGATATAAATGCTTACTGGCCTCAGCGTGACCTCACAAACTGCCCATAAAGATATTTTGGAAATTCATCTGGTATTGTTTCTGATAACTTCCACTCCTAATTTGGTTTGTGTCATTTACCAATAGTTTTATCTGAGAAAAACAATTTCTGTTGGAAATATAGGACACATAGGTCTACCTAGAGCTACCATTAAGTTGCAAATGTTTTCATTTCTAGATGTGTTCTGTGTTATTTGTCAAGGTTATTAATAATTATATTATTGTTCTGCCTTAAGATAACCTCAAACTACTATGATTAGAAAGCTATTTTCAAAACAAAGAGATAAGGATTGTGGTGAATCTGGCAACTGTCATCACACTGGAAACTGGTTTTCACATGGAGTTAAGATGTCAGAATCACCTGGGAAGCTTCACCTCATCTCAGACACTGAGGATCTTGAGAAGTAGGGGCAACAGGGTCTTATACTGTGAACAAATTTCCCATGTGCTGAGGAATTGCTAAGAGCTTGAATAAGGTGCTACAGAAGTCCAGGGTATGTGAGGTTAGGAGAAGAAGAGGAAGACAAGAACCATGGCGACAGGCTTCGAGGATGGGTCAACACAGAAGCAAAAACGTACAGTGTGCCCATGAAATGTGACTGGTGGACTACAGGCACACAGGACAGGAAGGAAAGGCTGAAGGTGAGACAGGAGAGATGAATAGAGACCAGGCTAGTCAGGATCTTGAATGCCTTTCCACATGGACCAGATGCACCCGCATAGAATTGGGATCATGGCAGATAAAAACTCAGAAAAGGCACAAGGAGGACTTAAACATTCCCTGAGTTCCTATGAAGACAAAGAATAAGCCTTATTCCTCATTGATCCTCTGTACTTACCCTGTAGTGGGCCTCATTAAATATTTACTATCTTTATGAGTGAACAACAAAAACAACTAGAAATATAATTGCTATAGATTAGCAATTAATGTCTGAACCACATTCTGGTGATTGCCTAGGTGATATATGCTTAAGGTAACTTAGTCAACAGTACAATGTTCATGCATAGTGTGAGCTTAATTTTTCTCAACTGATGTCTTTGTAAAATTTCAGTTACTGAGCTCCTCCAGGCATACTATGAAGGGGAGGCTCCTCGGCCAACACCTGAAACCTCCATCCTGGGGCTGAATTATGGCAGATAAGATAACCATGATCCGGGGCGCAGCTGACCCAAGCGCTGGACCCTGCCCAGGGGTCCCTCCTGCTTAGCTCCCCTGGTTTCCTCCCCACTGAAATCGTGATACTATACCAGTAAGTTAGGCTGAAAAATAGAAACGGGTCCCTTTAAGATGAGACAGGGCGCTGCAGAAAAGCTCAATCCAAAAGGACCCCTTGAAATCACTAAGACTTTTAGAAACCACCAAGCACATGGTCTATAGCAAAGGGGGAATTGATTCTACTGTTTTCACCAGCTGTTCTGTTTGATCAAAACCAAATTCTCCAAGCCTCAGTGTAAAAACAACCACCTTTTAGTGTTTTTCATTCATTCACCTTAATTCAATAATGAGGAGAAAGAAAAAAGCTAAGATGTGGTCCCTGTTCTTAGAAGCTTCAAGTATTACAGAAACAAACACAAATAAGATCATTACATGTTATGTGATAAACCCTGCAAACGAAGTTAGAATTGGTGGGGCTACAAACCACATGGGAGAACCTTCTCTAGGCATCTAGAGAAGCCTAGATCCAGAATGAACTGATAGGTCACCATAGACCAAAAGAAGAAACGGAGAGGTATTTTATACAGGAGGAAGCCAGGTGTGCAGATGGAGCCCACAGGGAATGTGATGAGTGTACAGAAAGGGCAACAATTTCCAGGCGGGTGTGGGTAGGCAGGGGAAAAGGCTGGAAGCAAGGGTTAGATGATACAGATAATACAGCTAAGATGCTTAACTTTTATCTGAGGACAACAGGAAATCTCTTAAGGATTTTAAGCTAAAAGTGATGTCAATTTGCACATCCAGAAACTCAGTGTGGACAGTAGATCAGAGGGGACAAGACTAGGGGAGAGAGAGTTAGGTTGCAGGTAATCCAAAGAGAGGTATTGGTAGTCTGAACTAAGACAGGCCAGTGGGGAGGGACACAAACAGATGGAACTGAGAGAGTTACGAGGGAATCTTGACAGGTCCTAGGTATTTACCTGCACATAGGGAAATGAGGATTTGCTTATGCTGGATGGAGAACTTGGATTGAGAACTCAAAGACGTCTTTTAAAAATGTTGGCATTTCAAATGTTTTCTCATTATCTTTAATGTTTATCTGCACGTATAGAGGTCTTTTAATCCCATGCCTTCCCAGCTTCAAAGAGTATTTTCCATATATTCTGTCATTCAACAAGTATTTCCTGGGCTCTTTCTGTCTGCTGTGTCCTGAGTAGATAAAGATGTTAGGTGAACTTAGGGAATGGTGGAGAAAAGCATACAATAAAAACAAAAATAACAAAACACAAATGTCAGTGACAAGTGATTTCAAAGTATGAAATCCTAGATGCAATGGGATGAGGGCGTAACTCTCCAGATAAAATAGTAAGAAAAGGCCTCCAAGGGACAGTGACATCAAAACTGAGGTCTACAGAATACCAAGAAAAGCCACGGAGGGTATCTGGGGAGGAGCATTACGGGTAAAAAGGGACACTGGCAAAAGGCAGGAAAGAAGCAGGCATCTTACAGGAAACAAAAGAAGACACATGCAGCAGCTCAAGCCCCACAAATGAAGCAGATAGAATAAGGAGGTCACAAGGATCTATTTAACAAGCTCTTAGGAACCCACAGAAGGAACTGAATTTGGCTTTTAGGCAAATTCAGGTAAATTTTAGGCAATTCTGGTAAAAGAAAGCAATAGAATAATGGAATCCAAAGCCGGCATGATAGCGCATACCTATATTCCCAGCACTCTCCCCACATCCTTGACTGGCTAATTTCTCTTTATCCTTCAGGATTGGGAAGGGAAGCCCCTTTTTCTGAGCTCTACCCCACTCACTCCACTGCATATTAGGCTAGATACTCTATTCTCTGCCCATAGCAACCTGAATTTGTTTCTTCAACGTGCACCTTTTTATACTTGAATGTTTTTGTTTGTGAAATTTCCTGTTTTGTGTCTAGACTGAGTTCCTAGAGGGAAGAGACCATATCCGCGCTGCTGACTGCTACAACGGCAATGCCAAGCACATGACCAGGGGCAGGAGAAAAGCAAACCTGTTCACCTGCGGCTGGGTCCACAAAGTCTCTCATAGTACAGGAAATAAACTGGTCTGAGAGTGTCTTCTGAATTTCTTCCATGGAGGCAGGGATTTTCCAAGGGAGGCAGCTTCTTGGTGTCATCTTTGAATGCCCTTTGGGTAGTGTCCACTGAAATCCCTATCATTACAAATAAAGTTTTCAAGAGAATCCATACACGTCCACCTAATGCAGTCAGGAGGTCAGTGCCTGTGCATGTGTTCTTTGGAACCCTTTACATCTTGCTACAGCGCGGCAGTTGCCTGTGTGTTAGAGGACAGTGGCCACTGGTTTGCAGAGCTGTAACACCAGTACTGAGTGCTTGATTCCGACTTTTTACACTGAAGACAACAAAATGTGCTTGAAAACTCCAAAGACGTCCTCCCAACCAGACTACCGCTATCGCCAGCTTTTCACATGTTCCAAGCAGCACAGAGAGTGGCCGCCTTTCCCGTGGGAGCCCCAGACAGAAGACTTGCCTCACAGGCAAATGTCTGAGCAACATCACGAAGGGCAGGCTCTGCCTCTGCCTCACCGCCAAAGACTCTCAAGGCTTATACAGCTTGAGCCCTCCGCCCCTCTTCTTACCGTCTTCCCTCTCAGGACCATACTTCCTACCGCCCTCAGAAATGGAAACCACCAGCAAAGAGCCTTCCCCACCCCCTCCCAGGCACCGCCGCTTCACTTGCGTCTGCTGTGAGGCGAGAGGAGCCTCTGGTGCTCCCTAGATCTGTCCCCTTTAGTCTGCTCCGGACCTCACTCCAACAGTCCCACTTCTCTTGAGACTAATTTCTCTCTCTGCTGAGCCATTGCAAGCAGTGAAGCAAGCTTGCCTTTATTTCTCCTATGTTACAAAGAAAACCCTCACTTTCCCTGCTGCCTTCTCTTGTTACTAAGGTGCTTGTTACTTTCCCTTCACACTGACCGCAGTACCTATGCTCACTGCCCCAATTTATATTTCAAGTATGTTTTAATATTCAAGTTCTCGTTCAGTCCCTCTTTTCTCTTATAATGTATCTGTCAAAGCAACCAACTGTGAACATAGGATGTCTGCTGAAGAAGCCCTTTGATGTGTAGAGGTTCTCAATCTGGCTTTTGTTGATTGCCTGGTCATTGGACTACTTAATGTGTATCTGCTTGCAGGACTTGGACTTAGAGTAGATCCCTTAGATAGACTGTGAGTGGTGTTTGCCAAGACTGCAGGAGGCAGAAGTGCAAGAACAATAACAGCGCCATTATTATTGTATCTCTGTTTAATGTCAGGTTGCTGAGGTTCAATGCCTAGATTGATAGGGTCTGCAGTCCGGTGCGACACTCCTTGGATGAAAGCGCAAGGGACAATACACTATGCCAGCTCTGCTTGAGCACCTTTAATAGCTTATAGAGGAAGGAAAATTATATGCCCATGAGTTATATACAAGGGGTGATTAAAACATACACGTGTGCTAAATAGTGAAAAATTTATTGAAGTGAAAGACACATTGTTATTAATCCTCCTCAAAATTCTCCCACATGCTTCAAACACATTTGTCTCATAATTCTTGCCACTTTCTAAAACAGCTGTGGAAGTCTTCTTTTGTGTCTTTACCAGATGTGATTTAAAAAAAATACAGTGGAAGCTGCTGCTGCATCCCACCCAACAAAAAGGCAGGGCTGTAAAAACATTTTGGTGCGTCCTTGTCCACTTTATTCACCAGACCTGGCATCATCCCACTTCTGGCGCTTCCCCAAAATTGAAAAGTAAAGGTTTTGAACTGAGTAAAGGCAGCCGCAACAGCTCAACTGAAGCTATTCATGAAGGAAGACTCCAGAACTGCTTCAGAAAGTGACGAGAGCAATGGGATAAGTGTGTTCAAAGCACTGGAGATATTTTGAGGGTGATGAATGGCAATGTGTCTTTTACCATAATACATTTAAAATATATAAATACTATATCTGTAGATTGCACTGTCTACATACATATACAGTATAATATTTTCGGCATTACTTTTTAAGTTTTAAGGAAAATATTTAAGAGGCAAATAGATTTTAGTGAATGGATGCCATGAGGAACCATGGGGTATGTATGTTTGTGCTGATGATTCTTAAGTCTACACCTCTAGCCCCTCTCATACATGAGCTCCAGACCTGCATTTTCAATTGACTGGTGGACATATCACCAACCAACATGCCATCACCTGAACTTATGTTCTTCTCTCTGCCCTTCCCTGCCTAACCTGGTCACCTGCCATGTTCCAGCTTGGTGAACCGCATGGGCATATCCCCAGGCATTCAAGTTAGAAATGTGAGCACTGTCCCTCCCTGTTCCTCATCGCTCTCTTTCAATCATCATATATTTTTCATTCGTCTACCTGGTCATCTATTGAACGCACTGAGGTGGTTCCATCTCAGGCGGCAGTCAAGTAAATGAAACCATTTACTGCGACCGACCACACACTGCCCTCTTTGATGGGAGGATATGCAGTGTCAAAACACACACAGAGAAGAGTCAGTTTCTTCCACTCAGCAGAGAAGAAAGTGGTTTCTTTTAAGCTGAACCTAGAGGAAATATAGGACAGATCCTTTGGTGGACAGGCAAAGGACACTGTAGAGAAAGTTAACAGTGATAAAAGCCATGGAGGTTTGACAATATACAAAATATCAAACACAAATGCTTGTGTATATCTTTCATAGCAGTACTATTCATAATAACCAAAAGGTGGAATCAACTCAAATATCCACCAACAGAAGATAAATGTGCTGCAGTGTAGACATATAGTATTACTCAGTTATGAAAAGTACTGATACTTGGTACCTCTTAGGGAACCTCAAAAACATCACGTTAAGTAAAATAAAACCTGGCACAAAAGTTACCTGTTTGAATGATTTCCACATACAAAATATCCAGAATAGGTAATCCATATAGAAAGCAGAGTGGTGGTCGCCAGGAGCAATGGCACAGGGGAATGAGGAATCATGGTTTAATGGTTATTGTGTTTCTTTCTAGGATGATTAAAATATTTTGCAACAAGATAGAGATGCTGGTGCCACAATGTAATATACTAAATGGCAGGCAACTGATCACATTTAAATGGTTAATTTTATATGATATGAATTTCACTTCAATTAAAAAAAAAACTAAAAAAAAACCCTAGGGGATAGAAAAATGCTTAGAAAGAAATGGAAGACATTAGGCAGGAAATAGAAGAATGGGGACCCTGTATCCCATGACAACAGAAGATGCAAAGTTTTGCAGCATATTAACATTCATTCTTATTAACCCATTCTTATGGGTTGTTGGTACACTATTAAATTCTACAGGTATGTAGATATTAGCTTACCTGAGTGGGGTGCAATTTGTAGCTCTTGACTCGTCTTGAAGTCTCATTTTTTATCAGATTTTCTTTAACATATGATTTCCAAACATATTCATCATTGTATTGGGTCTGATTCAGAATTGGATCACTAAGTGAGTATGTATATCCTAATCTTTTGATACTTTTTTGACTGAAAATGAAAACAAATTTGAGTGAGGTTTTAGGTGTCAAATATCACAATGGTAGACATATCAAAACACTTTATTTGCTATATTTTTTAAAGATTGGCTATATTTTTTAAACCCCTCATCAAGAAAGACTTGATGCAAGATATAATTTAATACATAAATTCCCTTAATAGAAACATTTTTATAATTTAGCATGACTCTTAATAAAAGCATGGGGCCTTAAAATTTAGAAGAATAACAATCAAAACTTCATTTTGTCAATTTTTTAAAGAGCTGGATATTCTCGTGCACAGAGTATTTCTGCATAATCAACAAGTTTTGGAGAAGAGTTTCTATTTTTTTATCATGTTACTATTTTCTTTTTTATTAGTATATGTTTGTGATACATAATAATTACATTCATCTTAGAACTTTCTATTTTTAGACGTATTTCAGTTGACAAAAAGAAGATAAAATACGAATTAAGATATAAGTGGTTTGGCTGCCCCTAATGAAATGACACATCTAGACAAAATAGCCATGTCACACACAGTTCAAAAAGAAGAGCCACTAGGTATTATGTGATTCCAGGGGGGCATACACAATACCATTTCTTCAATATTTTTCCAAAACATTGAATCTGAGTTAGATGAAGTCTTTAGAATTTAAACTGCAGCAAATACATGAAAGGAGGAATTTTTAAGTGATATCATGGGGATACAATTTTAAAATCTAGAATGATGATTCTGTTTGTTCAACAATGAAATTGTCAGAACAAAAAGATGGGGATGGAAATCTATAAACTAGAAATAATAACCAAATGCAGTGTGTTCACCTTCTTTGGATTCCATTTCAAACTATGTTTTCATTATGGGAAAATTTGGAAAATTTGATGACTGATTGGCTATTTGATATTAACAAACAGATTTTTTTAAAGAAAAGTAATGGTATTTTAATTTATTTTTAAACTATCCTATCTTAACACACATAAACTATTTAGAATTACAGTGATATGATGTCTGGAATTTGATTCATCATAGTCCAGTGGGAAGGATGGGTGGGAGGTAAAGATAAAACATATCTATGTGTTGATTATCATAGCAGGGTTATAGTTAGGGAGTCACTGATTATTCCTTTGTGTATGTTTAAAATACTTCATGTTGGCTTTTTTTAACAAAGGGCTGGGTCATTTCTGACTGTGTTCTAAAGGAACAAATATCTGGGATGTCGGACATAGCTTGGAAATTGACTATTTTACTGTTATTCATATGTAAACTTTTTCAAAGGAGAACAGCACAAATAGCTTTAAATAAATTAATTTTCATAGCTTAATTTCTCAGTACATACGCTCTTTCCTAAGCCATATCTGCCTGAGAACAAACTTGCGTATTTGTGCAGATCCTTCCTTTCTTTCCCACAGTCTTTACAGGACTCTCCCTTTCCCATGTTATCCCAGGGATTTTGGCGGGAATGCTGGGGACCAGGAAATGAAAGTCGAGGCGGCGGGGCATGCTACCACTGAGTTACAGTCCCAGCCCTTTTAGTTTAAGGCGGTTTCTCCCTAAATTGCTTAGTTGCCAAAGCTGAACTTGAACTTGCAATTCTCCTGCTTCGGCCTCCCCAGTAACTGGGGTTACAGATGTGTGCAGGATCCTCTTATGGTTCACCGCCTTGGGACATTTATCTCAAACCCCAGTAAGGATGCCCAAAAAGGGAAATTCGGTCAGCGTGAGCTCAGGGAAACCTTGTTCAAGCTCCATGCACTTGCCAGGGCTGCTTGTTCTCCTTGTCTGGGTGCTTCCGCAAAGCGAGAGCTGGTAGCTGAGAGCAGTGTCTGGCTTGCCACTTCCTACCAATTGCCAAATGTTCATCTGTCTTTAGGAAGAGGCCTCTCAGAGGACAGCAGAGAATGTGGAGTGCTTAAAATGGCTCTTTCCGTACATATTTTCAGCTTTAAAAAAAATCCTTAGGCAATGTCTTCGGCTGAATAGAAATGCGTGTCTGAGGAGCGGGAGCAGTGAGAGCTGTGATGAGGATTGTTTAAATATAACTAGAATCTTTTCTGGGACACCACATTTTTCAAGATTGCTGGATAAAACTGGTAGATAAAAATCTGTGGAGCTTTTTCCAGATTTTGTATTCATTATTATTAAATGATATGTTTTAATACTATTATGAAATATTTATTCCAATACCGCCCATCCTCATTGCCAACAAAGTATTTGACGATAAAAAAGTATATGTGGCTTGCCAGATCCACTGAATTTCACTATACTGTATTAACTTTCTTTTTCATTAAATGAAGTTGATTTGATGTCTAATGAAATTATTCCTGAGTTTTATATGTGATTGTTGCTTAATTATTTCCAAAAGTTAAGCACAAGATTTCTATTGACATGAGAAAACATCTAAGGAAAAATCATGTTTTTATCATACTCATTTCACAGATAATTCACACATCTCATTGCATTATTTTTATACATATATTTAATTGTATCAGACTTGAATCTTTTTACACTTGCTTTGTCTACTTTTAGTAACCTTCTATAAAATATATATCCCATAATCTATTTTTAGTAGTTTTCATAATATTCTTCAAAATATATATTAACATTTATTTGTACTGAAAGTTTAGGTAGATTTTATTTTGATAGGAAATAAACTTTGTTATGAGGCATGATCAAAATATACCATGAGTGTTTAAATTTAAAAACTTTATTCCCCTGAGCACACACTGTCATTAATCCCCCTCAGAATACTCCCTCTTACTTCAAACACACATATCGCACCATCCTTGCCACTTTCTGAAGCAGTTCTGAAAGCCCTCTTTAGGGACAGTTTTTATGAGATGTAATAAAAAATACAGTGAATGCTGCGGCCTAGTGCCATCCAACAGAAAGCCAGGCTCGTAAAAATATTGTGTGTCCTCATTTTCCTTATTCACTGGACCCGGCACTGTGTGATTCCTACCTCTTCCCCAAAGTCAAAATGGCCATAAAAGATAAAGGTTTTGTGCAACCGACGGCACAGAAAAGGCCTTCCAGAGCTGCGTCAGAAAACAGCAAGAACAGTGGGATAAGTGTGTTCGCAGTGCAGCAGAGTATTTCGAGGGAGATTGATGGCCATGTGTCTTTTACTGTAATAAATTTTAGAAACGTTTATACATGCACAGCAGTTTTTGTTCACACTGTTTACGCTCCTTGGTTTGATGACAAAGACCGATTTTACCAACTAGTCAAGTGTGCTAAGGAAACTCAAAGAGCTAAATCTTTAGTCTCAAGATTTTGACAGAAGTATATTGAAAATATGTGACGATAAAAGCCTTTCGTCTAAAAATATTGTATCAGAAAACACTTATTAAAATTAATGTTTCCACTTTCCAAGTCCTTTTTGAGCATTTAATATTAAACTAAGTGCCTCCAGTGAAAGACTAATAGGTATAATTTAATAGTCATTTGCTATTTGTTAAGATGTGCCTTTTTGATATTTCTCAGAAACTGAGGTAGGGAATAATTCAATAAATGGGTGATAAATCATCTCATTTCCTCCTTTGAGTAAAACTGGATGAGAACCCTGCAAAGCTGTCAGTAGATCAGTCATTAAAAATTACCTTTTGATTTCTGTCATAAAATTCTGAAAGAGTTCAGAGTATCAAATGACATTGCTACCTCGAAACTTCCTTCACATCTGTGTGCATATGTGTGTGTACTTTCTTAACATTAGCATCTATAAATTAAGAAAAAGCAAAAAAATTGATGTTGCATGTGGTCTCTTTCTAAAAATAACAATACTCAACACTGGACATATGAACTGAATAAAAACAAAACAGTGCCGTTCTATCTCGTTAAGATACAGTTCAAAACATACTTTTTTATTTAATAAGTATGAACATTTGTAATATATTTATTCCTTTGAGCAACTGTGTACTAAAGATGATTATGGTCAATAATTAAGGTCACTTAACATGTTTAAAAATTAAATTAAAATACTTGCAAAAAAGAACAGAGTGGTCAACAGGGTGCTTTCAAATATAAAATATATGACAGCAGGGGACATTCTCTTGAGGAAGTGCAATGTGAAAGAGTTCAAGAAGAAAAATTATCAGAGTTTGTTCGAGTATGTTTTAAAAAGGATTATGATGAGTATAAACTTGCTGAGGCATTTAGAGCACCCATTGTTTATATACTTTTTAAATTTTTCTTTTAAAATGGCAATATTTAGTTTGGGCTGAATGTCTTTTATCTTTTGCAAGTATTTAAGTATATGTTGAAAACCTTTATGAGAACTTTGAAAATGTATGAATTTCAAGACCACCATCTTAGACTTTCTAAGGAACTCTTTGTTTTCTGGTTTTCCTCCTAAATGTTTCTTTGTAGACAACCATCACTGCCTATGAACCTGGCATTTTCATTGTAGTCTGATGATATGAGAAGTCTTCCATTTAAGATACAATAGCTTAATAGATAACCAGCAATTCAGAAATCAGGAGTCTTATAATCATGGAATTTTGAAAGTCTGTCTTATATTAAACTGGTGGTAAATGAATGAATACTACTGAATAACTTATTTGAGCTAATCACTGTACTGGTGCTCTAATGATTCCCCAGGAGACCCCCGCAAGCAGGGATCATTCTCTTTTCCATCAACAATAAAACTGAGCCTTGTAGGTGGCTTGTTACTTGCCTAGTGGAGTAGAAATAACCAGGGTTAGCCCAGGACTTACCAATCACTCATCTGCCTGCTCACTAACTTGCACTTTTAGGAAAAGATGGTCTTTATGGGAAGCAATTCAGAGTAAACACAAGCCACAGGCTCTCCAGGCTGACTGCATGCCTACCAGTGAAATAGTGAAGAAGACCAGGCTCTACTGACCTCCTACTGAACTCAGAAAGGCAACTGATGGCCCGACATCCCCACTGCCTTCAGCTCATGTGGACTGGCAAAGCTGCAAGCCAACATTGCCGTAACTACAGGAGTGAAGAAAACGATAAGAGAATTGTGGTTTCTTTCAGCCTACAAAATCAATGTTAGTTGTGATAGTGACAGCAAGTATTCACTCATCCATTCACTTATTCATAGTCACTGCCTGCTGCTACATATTAGGGTGAGAATTCAATTCATATATGAGGCTGAGTTAGCACAATCCAACTGACCTTTACACTCGGTCTAGGTAAACCACAATATGCAATAACTTTATGAAGAACCAGTGTGGAAATCTTCTTGGTTTTCTTGGTGGTCTGGCTGTTATTTGACAGGAGGAGCACTCTTAAAACTTGGAGGGGAATTGTATGTGCACTGGTCCCTAACAGTGCATTTTAAAAGCCTTCCCCAGTTGCTCTACTTGATTTCCATTCTGAATAATAAAAGACAAGTGAAAAAATTAAAGTGAGTATACTAATGTGACTTCAATAGGGAATTACCGAATTAGAGCTGGCACTTCTCCTGTTTTATATGTGAATGCCGTCTTCATTGTTGTAGCATATGAATCCCAGTTGGTATTACCTGCTGAAAGGACAATGAAGCATTTGTAAATGCACCAAACAAGAATATTTTAATCAAATGTTAAATTTCATTAAGCAATTAAAATTAAAATAATTTTACAAAAGAAAGAGAAAAGATTTTGGATAATAATTTTGCTTTAGAATCTAAACAGCCATAACGCCCAACTGTTACAGCTTAGCTCTAAACTGTCCCTGAAAAGTTTCACATTCAGTGGTAGGGCCTGGTTGAAAGGGGTCATTAGGGGCACGACTTGAAGGGTATATTCTCTGTCCTGGTTCCTCTTTTCTCTCTGTGCTTCCTGGGTGACAGATTTCCTCCGCCATGGTCTTTTGCTGTGCTTTGGAGCCAGCCGAACACAGCTAAATTTGCGAACCAAAATAAAGCTCCCCTCCTTTAAGTTTTGGGTGTCTGAGACTTTGTCTCAGTGATGAAAACATGACTAATACAGAAAACTGGTGTCAGGAGCGGAGTCACTGCTGTGACTGTACTGAACTATGTGGTTCAAAAGCCTTTGGAACGGGTTTGTAGGAGGAATTTGGGCAAGTTTGAAGAATCAAGTTTGAAGAAGCAAGCTAGAGAGGTCCTACAATGTTGTAAACAGAGTTTGGTGGGTGATTCTGGTTGAAGCTCAGAAGATCAAAGTGCTAATAGAATGTGGACAGTAAAAACTAGGCCAGAGGTTTCAGTTAGGAACAAGGACTTCACTGGCAATTGGACTAGAGGCCATGTGTGTCATGCTCTGGCATAAAATTTTTCTTCATTTTCCTATTGTCCTGAGGCCTGCTCATTTAGGGCTGCCTAGGAAGTATATCTCCAAGTTCAGCCATCCAGGGTCTCAGAGACCACTGCAGCCACTTTCCAAGAGCCTAGCTCTTGCTCACATTGACATGTTATCTTTGCATCATTCACATAGTGCTGGTGTTTTAGGCATGCAGAATGCAAGAGTTATAAGACCATGAAGCTTCCACCTAGATTTCTGAAGAGTGCCTAGGAGGCCAGGCAAAAAACTGTAACAGGGTCATATTTGCTGCCAGGAACCCAGCACAGGGAAATGTGTGAATTTGTAAAAGTGAAACCAAAGGTGCACTGGAGACCTCAGGAAGATAGAGATGCCAGAAAAATTGAATGCCTGCTGAGGAAAGGCGCAGCAATGAACAGATCCAGACCAAAGAAAGGCCATGTGAGTTGCAGCCAGCAAGGCCACAGAGGTGGGGCTACCTAAACCCTTTGAAGCTCACATTTCACCACAACCTTCCTTGAATGCTGGACATTCAACTACAGGATTTAATGTTTACCTTACTGAGTTTTGTCCCATTCCCTTCTATCCTCCTATTTTTTTCCTTTCACAGTGGCAATGTTTACCCTGTGTCATTGTATGTTGTGGGTGTTTCATTTTCTTTTTGATTTTTAGTGGAACTCATAGTTAAGTTTTTTCTTGAGTCTCAGAGGATTTGGATTTGGACTACTCGGCAATGTTGGAATTACTAAGACTTTATTGACTCCTAGAGATGGCTAAATGAATTTTGCATAATGAGATGCGCATGAGACTTTTGGAGGCCAGAGAAAGAAGGTAATGGTTTAGATCTAAAGGTATCTCTCGGGGCTGGGGATTTAGCTCAGCGGCAAAGCGCCTGCCTGGCAAGTTCAAGGTCGTGAGTTCGGTTCCCGGTACCGGAAAAAAAAACAAAAAACAAACAAACAAACAACAACAACAAAAAAATAAAGGTATCTCTCAAAAGTCTCCTGTTTGGAGGGTCACTGGAGAGGGTCACTGGGGGTGTGACTTGGAAGATGTATTTCTAACCCCACGTCTCACTTGTCTTTCAGCTTCCTGGCCACCATGCAGTACTCAGCTTTCTTCCACCATGTTGCTCTGCTTTGTTATTTCTGTCCTGGAGCCAGAGACCATGGACTGAATCTGCTAAAACTATGAGCCAAAATTAACCTTTCCTCTTTTAAGTTGCAAGTGTTGGATATTTTGTCACAGTGATTGGAAAGTGACTAATACACCAACTAATGGCCTCACTTAGGAAAGAAAAGAAATTCAGTTATCCGGGTTTGCCCAAAATAAAAGCAGGTTTATTGTTTTTATTGAATGTTCATATATACTTTAAAGAATTCAAGCCTTACACAAAAAACACAAAAGAAAATTTGAAATTCCCCCTTCAGATATCCACTATTACATTTTGATGACAAAACTGCACCACATCAATGCTTCGTTTTTGCTCCTTTCTCTCCTGCTGATTATCACTCTCTTCCTTGTGCCTCCTCCATGCTATCCCATGTTAACAGTCTTGGCTGTTTTTTCCGTACTAGTATATATGCAGATGTAATCATATACAGATTTACATGTATATATAAACACATACACATATTGGGGTTTAGTTCTCACCATTATATTTTATAAAAATAAGCTCATATCACTCAAACTCCCCCTTGTATCTGTCACTAACAGTGTCTTGTGAAAAAACCCTCCAACTCAGCTGGTACAGAACTAATTCATCCTTTGTAATGACTGCAAAATTCACTAGTGTCAACATCAGTGAGAGCTATAAGAGTGGGTGATATCATTGAGGGAGGGAGGTTCGACAGTAAGCAGCCACAGAGTTTCTCTGTTTCAACACTTTCTCCCACCCCCAACGTCAACAAAGTACCATCAGATTTCTTTAAAAATACCACAGTTATGCTTTTATCCATAGTTTCACATTCCAAGGTCTCAGATACCTATAGTCAGAAAATATTAAATGAAAAATTCCAGTTCATAAGTTTTAAACTGTAAACTATTTTGAGCACCATGACTCAACCTCATGCTGTCCAGCTCCTTTTGATCTGGGATATGAATCATCCTTTCATCCAGGATATCCAAGCTGTATATACTACCCACCCGTTAGTCACATAGTAATCATCTCACGTCTCACAGTGCCTGTATATAGAGTCAGTACTATCCATGATTTTGGCAACCACTGGAGCTCTTAGAACATGTCCTCTATGGAGAGAGGAGGGGGTAGTTTATGTATTTTTAAATTTAAATTAGTCTTTTTTTTTCATTTTTAATATCTGGGCAGTTACTGTTGCCTTCTACATTTCATGAGAACCCCCCATGTGGGATACATCATCTCATCTCTAGAATATTGTAGCTACCTTGGTGCCTGAATTTGTTCCCACACATTTATCCTGTTAAAATTGCTGTGAAGTATCTTTCACAATTTCTCAGTATTTTTAAAAGTTAAGTCTTCCTGTCTAGCATATGGCACCCTGGCCAAACACTTCTAATTTCTGTCATCTGTGAGTCAATTTATGTTCATTGCCCTGTCTCTGTCAGCCAGGTCTTGTTTGTAATTTAACAGCCCCTCCCTCCACTCCAGGCAGGCAGCAGTATCTGCTCATCTGCAGCCATTCTCCAGTATCTTCACATAGGCTCAAGTGCCATGTCCACCCAGAAGTGTCCCCAGCTGCAGAACTGAGCCCTTGGCCCCTTGCGAATCCCACTCTGCTTTGCTCCCACAGTATCCTAGTGTCTCCTTTCAGTGGCATTATCTTTTGAGATTTCTGCTTTGGTAGGATCACGTGACACTTAAAAGTCTCTTATTCCAATAGCAGAATTTGATCTTTGTGAAAAGACTTTCCAGTGTGGACAAGTGGGAAGAAATTGAGGTGTTCCCCTCTTAAATAAACTTACTTTAACCTTACTGAGCCCTCTAGGTTTGACTTTTGGATTAAGCAGGATCTTCAAGACAGAGTCCACACGCCTGTCTACTGTCTTTTTCCTAATGCTAACAGCACTAATCTAGATGAAGTCAATTTCCTGCTAGACACAGATGCACCTCCAAAGCTGTAGAGAAACAGTTCTCTGGACAGCATTTTCCAATCAACCACAGGGACACCCATGGACACCTCGGTGCTGAGGACAGGCTAGAGGTGGGCACCCGGTGGGATGGATTGCTAAATTGCTACTCTACAGGTGTGCAGGAAAAGGGGCAGTGTGTCTGGCTGCTTCCCTGTCCTACAACCAAGCAAACCTCCCTCTTTCTGTGTTAGATCAGACATGTGGATCCTTTCTACATCCTACTTCTATCCTGCATGGGTGTGACTTGGTTGCTAGGACATCATCCTTTAATTTCCTGTTTCGTCCTTTTTAGTTCCTACAACCCTTTGTGTCCAGTGTGTATTTTTGTGATTTCGAACCCCACTGACAAATCTTCTGAAAAAAAAGTATGTTATTGGAATCAATCCTCTTCATTAACAGAATTGTTCCTTTAAAAATCCATAAACACAATATCTTAAAACTGCTTCCATAGTGTCTTCTGCATGTCTTTGCTTTCCTCTTCTTTTCTTCTTGGTAGGGAAATATGCCTGTGTCTTTCTTTACAGCTCTATGTCCCTCCCTTGTGATCTGTCTTCCTGGTTGTTTCTTCTTATTCTCACTCTTTGTTCCTTTTACAAACAAGCCCTGAGCCCTTCCATGGACCAAGGCCCACGTTCAACATGTGATACGGAGTCCTGTCCCGGCCTTGATACACAAGCTTGTGGAGGAGCTAAATATCCCAGGGGCACAGGTTTAAAATTGTGCAGATGTTCTCTGTGTCAGAGAGGGCCTGAGTAGTATACAATTCTTTCTTCTTGGATGAGAAGAGGACACAGCTAGAGCAAGTGCAGGGTGGCATCTGAGCTGTGATTTAGTTTTTTAGAAGAAAAACATAGAAGATCATGGAGTAGAACACTCTCCAGAGGAAGTATCAGGGAATATGAGAGTCTGAGACATGGGAAATGACCCAGTGCAAGTGAGGGCAGGGAGAAATGGGTAAGGATATGTTGCCTGGGCCATTTCTGTCCTACTGCTTCTTAAAGCCTTATTCCGCCAATTTTAGTGACTCCCTGGAGATATCCAGAATGATAAAAACACATTATAAAGCTTTGAAAATCCAGAAAATGGTAACTAGTGTGTATATTGTATTATACTTTGCAAAGTATTTCTACATGTACCATTTTGTTTTATTTTCAGAACAATTTGAGGGACAAGGCTGGTATTAGTGGCATCTAGTAATTCTAACTTTTTAATGATTTGAAGATCTAAGGAATTGATGAGTCCACAGTACATATAGTATGCTGAAAGATGCCCCTAAAATATATGTTCACTTCTTAAACTCCAGAACCTGTGAACATGATTGTATTTGGAAAAGGCTGTGCACATAAAATTAAGGATCTCAAAATGAAGATGTCATCTTGTGTTACCCTCAATGATCTCAATGACCAAATTGTGATTACAGATTGTCTTATAAGAAAGAGGTGGGAATATCTGGCAAGAACAAAAGAGAAAAAGGCTATGTAACCTTAGCGGCAGAAGCAGAAGTCATGTAGCTACAAGTCAAGAATGTAAGGATCCCACCCTACAGCTGCTGGAGACAGATGTAGCCCTGACTACACCTTGAATTTGGACTTCCAGCATTCAGAACTGCCAGACAATAACTTATTGCTATTTCAAGCCACCGGTTTTTGTCTGATTTTGTTCAGCGACCATGGGAAACTAATGTAGTACCTAAGAGCCCAGGCTACAATCATTGTTCAATAGCAACCAGTCGTCATGGTCATCAGTCACCATATTAGTCACTTTCCCATCCCTAGGACAAAATATCTGACACAATTTAAAGGAGGACAAGTTTATTTCAGCTCACAATTTCAGAGGGTTCAGTCCATGGTAAGCTGGCGCCAAGGCAGAAATGGCAGGATGGAATGGCAAATGGAGGAAAGTTACTCAATCTATGGCAGCTGGGAAGCAGAGAGAGCGAGAGAAGGGAGGTGCCAGAGACAACCTTTCAGGTCATGCCCATGGTGACATATTGCCTCCAACTGGGCACCAGACCCTAATAGCACATTCAGCTGTGAACTCCATGGATTAATCCACCAATAAGTATATTGCCCCATTATCTAATCACCTTCTGAAAGTGCCACTTCTCAACACATGAGATTTTTATGGGGCCACTTTAGATTTAAACCACAACAATCAGCTCATCCTAGTTTGGAAATGACACACCAACTTTGCCTTTAGAGGGTGACTCTAGCAGGAATAGCACAGACTGGCTATCAGAGACCTACAGCTGGAGATGAAGAGTCAAACACACAGAAAAAGGAGAGCTTAGAAGCCAAATCAGAGAGACCTGGCGATCCTAATTTCAGTAACCAAACTCTGTTAATGAGATTCCCAAAGTCTGGAAGGCCTGAGGAAGACAGAAGTGTAACTTTGAACATATTGAATGGAAAGCCCTCTTATGACCTCTAAATAAAACTGTCTGTAGGCAGTTGGATATTTTAATTTGCAAATTAGAAATAGAGAGCAAAGGGCCATTGGCACCTTTGTGGATCACCTAACGCCTGGTGGCAGGATGTGGTCATTCATGTGGAGGAGACCAGGAGGGCATCTTGGAGGACTCTGACATTTCCCAGACACAGTGGAAGAAACCAAGACAGGTGATCAGAAAAAGACGAGGGAGGAACAGGCATGCTCTCAGGAAATGGGGAGGGGTTTCTCCCTCTTGCCTCTCTTTCTACTTTGATTTCATATAGAAACCGAGTATATTTGATATTTTTTGTGTTAATTAAGTATTTTTGTATTCCATTCTTAACTCAGGAAGGAATGAATTGAAATAAAAATACACATTTCATTCATGCTTGTGGGAGCACCATTCTAGGAAATTTGCAGTTGAACAATTCCTCACTGCTCTGTGGCCAGCATGAAACCCAATTACCCAGCTAGAAAGCAGCAACGGGCCATTATTGCCGAGAGAAAGGGCACGGCGGAGCTGACTCCACAGTTACCGGGCCACCAGCCTCACAGCTAGGGTGGCACTTCCTCCGCAGACACAAAGGGCTGAGTTAGTAAACCTGCTGCATCTGTAAGCAGATCCAGGCTCCGAAGAGCTCCCCTTGGTGCTCACTACATCTCTTTGAAAGAAAAACAATCCGCCCAGGTTAGAAGCTGCCGCTGAAGGTGGAGAGCCCCGCCTCTGCCGCAGCCATCGGAGGCCCCCTCCGCCACTCACGGTACCCGGACCTTCTTCGCCATTTCTCAGGCCTTGTATGGGGGCCGGGAGTCAAGCCTGCCTTATTCTCTGCCCAGCCTCTGCATTTCTGTTCCTTCTTTGCCTTTGGGCCTGTTCGCCTTGGAAAAGTCCTGGACGCTTTTTTTTCCTGTCCACCCACTTCCAGCCATTTCCTGGAGTGCTTAAAGCATGGAGGTGGGGTTATGTTTTATGGAGAGGGGGTGGCAGCAAGCATAAAGGCTGGAACCGAGCAGATTCTCACACACCTGGTCATTCTCCCGATGTCATCCCTCCCTCAGCAGGTCCATCAACAGAGGGAGGTGACACCCTTAAAGACTGACGCACCCTTGACTGGACCACACCCCCGCTCAGGAGAGACCCAGTCCCGCCCTGCGGTCAGGCCAGGCCCGCAGGCTTACTTGGCTGGAGCTTGCCGTCGCACTGAGGTAGGCCCGGAGCCTTGGGCCCAGGCTCGGCAGCCATCCTGCCTGGAAGAGGCAGTCGAGCGCTAAGGTTCCTGCCCTAGATTGCCCGGCGGGCGGCCTCTCTGTGACGCGTCGCCATGGAGACGCGGGTGAGTTTCTCCGCTGCTGGGTAGCCGGCTTACCAAACAGGCGGCTTCACCAGGTCTGCGCCTGGACCGGATGGTGAAAGAAAATAGGCGTGTTATTTCATCATGTGGATATGCTGTTTTCATGTATTTTTGTAGTTCTTACCGTGAGCTTTCCTGACCATTGTCTTCATATTCTGGAAGAGGAGCAAAATGAGGAGGGAATTGAACAGGAAATATGCCAGACTTCGCTCTGCAACTTCTCATCCACTCCTAGCTTACAGGTTAAGCAAATGTGGCAGAGTAGTTGTGGATCTTTGCAGTAAATAGGATCCAAATGAGACAACAAAAATCACACGTGATCCGGTTTGAAGAGAATTCCAAGTGGAGTTTTTGTGATGGCAACATTCTAACAAATGGAGGAGCCATCCTATGTATCAGTCAGCTTCACATTACTGCAAGAAAATACCAGATGTGGCTCTTTATAGTGACGCTTATTTTGGTTCACAGTTTTGGTGGTTTTAAGTCCAAAGGCCTAGAGCAGGCTTTGCAAGGGCTGCTGGGCAGGCAAAGACACCAATGGGTGTCACATTTAGAGCCAGAAAGCAGGGAGAGGGAGAAAGGAAGGAAGGGAGTGGGGAGAGAAAGAGTTTTGGCAGTCTCTATGGAGGGCATCACAAGGACCCAAGGGCCCCCCACCAGGCCCTACCTCCTACCTATAGCATCTCCCAAAAGCATCACCCTAAAGACCACGCCTTTCACTCATGGACCTTAGGGGCCACTACCAGTATTCAAGCAATAGCACCCTCACCGAAAAATTAGAAGAGGAGCCCGAAGGTAGAAAGTGACCTTCAAGATAGGAAGGAAGCAGATGTTCATGTCCCAGTTCTCCTTGCCAGGCCACATTCCTGGCCCCAACCTTAGTGCTTTGTGACTAATTGTTCTTCCAAACCCCTCCCCCACTGTGGATGTTACAGTTCATATAGAGATGTCCTCCCAAAGTATAAGTGCTCACAGGCAGGCCTTATGGAAGGTGACTGGGTAACAGAAGCACTAGAGTAGGTGCTTAGTTTTCACAGGTAGGGCCTGGTGAAAAGATAGTCATTAGGGGCATGACCTGTGTCTCAGTGAGGAGAAAATGACTAAAACCATGGACTAAACTGTGTCTTCTCCCCCCATGTATGTTAGAGTTTTCACCAGACAAGGAGGGTCTTTTCTTGGTACTCTTGACAACTCCCTGGTAATTTGACAGAGTATATGTGCTTCACTGCTAAGGGATGGCTCCAGATTAGAATACAACTGTCACCAACTCCTGTGAAGAGAAGTCAGAAAGTACACATTGGAGACCGCTGACAACATGTTTGGAGAGCAATTTGCAGCACTTCCTTCTCCTAAAAGGGGCTATAAAAGGTAGTATAACAAAGAGTTTATTAAGGGAAACAGAATAGTCATCAAAGTACATATCCCACATATGCAAGCAGGGAACATCTTCAAAACTCAGAGCTAAACTAGAATTTTCTGACAGTAGAGTCCCATCCACATGATCAAATGCATAGAGCACATTTTAGACTCCCAAGTTTTGAGGCAATGAATGGTGGAACACATTAGAAGGCACAGACTTCTGTCGATGTTATTAAAGGAATGAGTTTAAATTAGGATTTAGTAGTGGCATCTAAATTAAGAAAGTAGCACCCAATAACAGATTAACTGTCTGGAAATGGTAGGGCTAATTAGCATAGCATAATTTAAAAGAAATATATTTTTGAAATGGAGCAGCAAGTATATAGAATTTTAAAAGTGAATTCTTATTAATAGCTTACATTTATCTCCTGTTAGGCAAGCTGAAATGCTGGAGTATGCCTTGAATGGAATGAAAGCCAAATCTCTCTGTCACTTGTTCCCTGGGGGCCCTCAGGGTAAAAAGCAGATACTGTAGTGAGCCTCCATCTTCTTTGCTGTATACTAGTACCCACCTCATTGAGCTGCAAAAATGATAATCCTAACAATAATTTACCAGTGGTAAACTCTATCACCCTTTTGTCTAATTGCTATTCTTCTTTTTTGGTACCAGTAATCAACCTCAGAACCTTGTGCTTGCTAGGCAGGCGCTGTGCCACTGAGCTCTATCCCCAGGCTGATTGCTATTGTGATCTTCAGTCTTCTTGTAAGTCTCCCATCTCTGCTTCAGAATGTAGTTTTGGTGGGGGTCTGTGTTACTGTGAGCAGCAGAGCACAATTCCTACCTTTGGATTTTTGTTGCCTGAGGCAACCACTTTAAATGATTAAGTAGATTTTTTTTCCTTTTCTCCTTTCCCTCAACAAACAGTAACTGTACATTGAATCTGAGCTGTATGATGACAGTAAATGCAATGCCTTGGATAGGAGAGGAACGTGGGGACAGCTTCTTAGAAGAAGAGTCCTCAAGGATGCATGAGTCACCTGGGTGAAGAGAGAAAGGTGGTATGAGGCAGAGCTAGGGCCCAGGTAATGTGAACAGCCAGAGACACCAAGGAGTGAGGATTTGCTGTTGCCCTGTGTGGAGGGGCAGGGGAGAAACAGCTAGCTGGAAGGGAAGGCCAGCAGGCTGAAGAGCTGGGCTCCCACCTGGGCATGGGAGCATTCACTAAGTGGGTCACAACAGTGGACTGAAAAGGCCAGGTCAGAAGTTTAAGTCAATCCTAACCTCTACTGCAGCAGGAGGAAAAGCCAAATTCTGTATTACCCTAAATGAATACCACAGAAATCGAAACATTTATGTCACTAATATTTTTTGACAGTGTTTTGCATTGGTCCAAAATAATTGAGAATAGCTTATTGAATGGGTTAAAATTAATGGGTTGTTTGCAATTCAAATTATTATAATAAATGTTCTGCACATACACAAACACACAATAATGGGATGGGTGATAAGCTTAGGTGGTAAGGGTAAAAAGATGGCAAGCTTGGGTCACTCAAATATTGTCTGCCAAAAAGAATGGCTCCAGACCCAGGGGCACAGAGAGGGTCAGGGAAAGAAAGTAATTGCTGAAAAGAAGAGAAGTAACCATGTTCATGGGCCAGAAGTAAGGAGTAGGGAAAGAGAGCTTTAAATTGCAGGAGGGAGCAAAGGGACCCCAGGCTGGTACCCAATGTACTAGAGAGCTTTCTCCCAGTCTGAAGGAGAGTCCTGCACCTGGCACCTGTGAAACACACACTCAGATGCAGTAACACAGGTGGCACCTTGTTGTATTTACTTTTCTCTTTGCTGAGACAAAATATCCCAAACCTATAAGTTAAAGGAAGAAAGATTTAGAGATACATGTTGAAGAAGCAGCGCTGGAATGTCTTAAATTGTACTTAATGTCTTCTACGCAGAAGACCAGAATGCTGACAGAAATGCTACTGGTAAAAACCAGGCTCAGGAGCTTAGGCTGGGAAGGACTACATTGGCTGTTGGACTCCAGATGATGTGTTTATGGCTTGGCAGAAAGTTTGCCTGGGTTTTGCTTTTGGAGACTTTGCCTGAGACTGAGGTTAAGAGCAGTAAACTAATTAAGCCTAATTAAGCCTGCAGAAGAAATTTCAAGATGATCTAATGTTGAGCTGGTAGCATGGCTACTATTGGAGAATTTTAGCCAGATCTATGTTGAGAATCAAGGGCAAAGAGCCTGGAAGAATGATTTAAAATGTAAGTTTGGCCTGAAAGGAAGCTCCAGTAAAGCTGGCCTGCAGAGATAGTGCAGAGGAGAATGTGGTTGTTGAGAAAGAACACGGCAATGGAAAAGATGGCATGAGGACATCACAAGAAATAGCAGGACTCCAGCCTTTGCAGCCACAAGGTGGGAAGGGTGAAAGAATTTGCTCTGAGAAGAGAGCTCCAGATCATCGTGTTCCAGAATGGTGGCCACTTAGAAAATTTGTTCCTCGGAACTGGGTTCAGAGTGTTCAGTCATCCAGGCATTCAGTCTTTAAGCCAAGAAAGAAAGAAGTCTGGCTACTGTGTCAGCAGACAGCAGACCTTGGTGTTATTCACATGGTGCTGGTTTTAGGTGCATGTAGAATGGAAGAGTTGTGGGTTCAGGAAGGCTTCCACCCAGAGTTCAGAAGGCCTGGGAGGCCAGGCAGTGTGTGGCCTGAGAGGGCAGTGCATGAAGTTGTAAATATGAAGCCAAAGGTGCAATGAAGGCCCTAGAAGCTTGGAAAAGCCTGGAACATGGATCATCTGAGAAAAACTGCAAGGAAGGAGCAGAGCAAACCCAAGAGAGAAGCCATAGGAGTTGCAACCACCAGAAGTGCCATAGGGGTGGAATCACCCAAGCGCTTTGTAGTTCAGAACTTGTCACCAATTGCCTCAGATGCTGCACATGGAACTATAGGACTTAATGTTTGCCCTGCTGGATTTTTAACTTGCTTTGGTCCCATTCCTTTGTGTCCCCCTGTTTGTACCTTTTGGAATGATAATATTTATCTTGTGCCATTAAATGTTGGAAGTGTTTAGCTTTCTTTTCATTTTTACAGGGACTGACAGCTAAGAGTTTGCTTTAAATCTCAGAGGAGACTTGGGACTTAATAATACTGAAACTGTTAGAACTTTGGCAATTCTGAGAGCCGGACTAAATGAATTTTGCAGAAAATGATACACATGAGCCTTTAGGGGGCCATGGTGGAATGTTATGGCTTATATCTAAGCCTCATGTGGTCAGAGGAGGGGATTTTTAGGGGTGGTGTGTGATGCTGGAATCAAGGATATGATGCCAGGATTGATTCATGGTACAATGCTAGGATAAAGGCTGTGTCACCACGGGGGTAAGTGCTACCTACTCAAAGGGTACATAATCTGGATAGGATATAAAGGACAGAAAGAGGGTTATTGCTTCTTGCTGTTTTTGATGCCTTTTGCCTGAAGTGAACTGCTTCTCTTATACAATGCCCCTCTACCATGCCACTGGCCTTATAGCCAACCCACTATGAACTGAAACCTCTATAAACTGTGAGCCATATAAACCTTTCCTCCTTTAACCTTGAGTGTCAGGTATTTTGTCTAAGCAACAAAAAGAAGCAACTAAGACACACATAATAAGACTCCTAGGTGACTCACAGGGATGTCTATAAACCCAGGCCACAGGCTGTGCTTTGCAGACAGTCTGAGGAGCATTTTCACTAGGCCAGAGATGGAGTTAAGCTTCCTGCACATGGAAGCAAGCTCACATCAGCCCGGGGACCTGGCAGCCTCCTAGATGAGGCTGCTGTTTTCAGCTCCTTCCCTTTCTTTCCCATTGGCAGTCTCTTAATCTCTCTTGATACTGGAACTCTATTGCTTTGGGATCTGTACCAGTGGGGGGACCACTCAACCCGAGCAACCCTTGTTCAGATATAGCATAAACAAGGTCCCTTGTGAATCAAGCATCTGGTATAACTGATCAAACACTAGCTGGAACTGGGGTTGCTTTGAAAGCCATCACCTGCTCCTCTACTGTCCCCAGGGCCTGGGGCTGGCTGGCTCCTGGCATGGATGTTGGAAATGGACAGACCTAGAGCCCTGCTAGCACAGTGTTACTGGGGAGGGGGGCAGGTGCTGTAGACATAACCTATCAGGCCCCACCTAGACCTCCTAAATCAGATCTGCACAAAGACTTCTGAGAGATTCCAAGGCACGTGCAAGTTTGAGAAGCACTGTTCTCAGTAGTATCGGGGGCAAGGTCATTTCCTACATAAAAATGAGGATAACAAGGAGCTAATGGGAGAATCAAAGGGAAAGCCCATGAAAGATATGTAAAATAACCAACAGGTGGCTGCTTCCTGTTGGTCCAGAGGATGTCCAGAGAATGTCCAGACCGTACAAGGTTGTGCAGCTGTTCTGGATACAAACATAATGAGGGAAGATGCTCTGCTTTGATCCTTATGTTTGAGCAAAAGAGTTTCTATCACTATGTAGAGTATAATGCTTTCCTTCAAGCATCCTCATGTAAAAAAAAATAGAACGTTGTTACCCCTTCTCTTGGTCTCTCACTGATTGACCAATTCAGTTTCTGTGATGGAGTCTCCAGGGAAGTAAAAATGATAGGAAGATATCTGTCTATTTAACTATCTAGCTAGCATGTAACATACATCCAGAGACTTATTTCGAGGCATTAGATCACACAGTTGTGGAGGTCGGCAAGTCCAAAATCTATAGGACAACCCAAAGCTGGAAACTTGGAAGAGTTGATGTTGCAGTTCACTTTCAATGGCCATCTGTTGGCAGAATTCTCTCTTGCTCAGGGAAGGTCTTCTGTTCTATTCAGGCCCTTAACTGATCGGATGAGATCCACCCACATTAGAGAGGGCAAACTGCTTTACTCCAAGTTCACCAATTTAAATGTCAATCTCATCCAAAAACAGCTTTCCAGAAACATCCAGAATAATGTCTGGTCAAATATTTGGGCACAGTGGTTCAGCCAAGTTGACACATAAAATCGGTCATCACAGACTTAGATTTTCCTGAGGTTATCTAGATCATAGCTGCCATCAGGAGGTGTTGTGGATGAGTAGTCCCAGAATAATTACTATCCTGTTATTGAAAAATCCAAGGAAAACTCTGTAGAGTTATCTCTATTTTATCTCTATTTTATTGGAACAGTCCAATTTAAATGGGATAAATTCTATGTTCTGCTCACCAAACTTACTTACTTATTTCATCCAAGTAAAACCATAACAGCAAGTTCAGACTACTGATTCTATCAAAATGTCATTAATCTCCTTTGTATGTGACCTTCTTCCCGGCCAGCCCTGTCGTTCCTATTTCTTGTATTTTTCTCTTCTCTGAACTCATAGTGAGGGGAACCAACTATTGGATAATTACCAATGCCTTCTATTGTTAGTTCTGCTCTCAGGTCTATTCAAGTCATGAATATCACATGTGAGCACTCATTTTAAATCTGTTTTACCAGCACTTGCCTGTCCAAATGAATGTTCTCTTCTTCAAAGTAATTCATTTTAATTATGCTGCCATTGCTTAAAGCAATTTTGAAATTCTTTAGAAACTCCCTTCTGAAACCAATGCACACATTCTTTTAAATTTCTCCAGTAAAAACATAACTCTCCTCTTTGAAGATTGATTGATGATTTAAAACATTAAGAATACATTCTAGCTGGTAATCAAGGTAGGTGACTGTTTGGGCAATGTTGTCTTTCAGCAAAAAATCAAATTACGACCATCAGGCAATGACAAAAATAACTTCCTCATTCTGTAGTTTCTGTATTTGCATTCTTATTGGAATTCATTAATAGCCCCTGAGGTCACTGACAACTTGTATAAATCAATCACCTGGATAAACCAATCCTTACATACTTGCTTTAAAACTAAAATTTATAGTTATACTTCATTTTATTGTCTAAAATGGATAACAGATATACCTGATATTTTCCTTTTTGAAGCACATTTTGGGGAGGGGTTCTGGGGATTGAATGCAAGCCCTTGCACATTCTGAGTACATGATCTCTCACTGAACTACACTCCCAACTCTGTCTTAACAAGATTGAAAGCAACAGTCACGTTTAAACATCATTATATGCCAGCATCCACCTTAGTGCATAACACACGCTCGGCACTTAAATGTATGTGTTGAATGATGAATGAAAGAATTGAATGGACAGATTGTTTAGGTCATTGTTGTGTGCCTTAATCTGCTTTCTGTTACTATAACAGAGTGCCTGAGGCTGGGTAATTTCTACAGATAAGAGGTTTATTTTGGTTCTAAGGTCTAAGAGTATGGTGTTAGCACCTTCTAGGTGTCTGTTGAGGGCGTCCTTCCTGCTTGTGGGGTCTCTGCAGAGTACTGAGAGAGTGAAGGATGTCACATACATCAGAGCAAGCTTGTTCATTTGGACCTCTTTACTGATAAAGCCACTAATGCAATCATCAGAGCTCTATCATCATGACCTCATCTAATTTTAGTTATCCCCCAAAGAGCTATTTCTAAATACAGTTAACTTTAACTTTGGGGATTAAGTTTCAAAATCAGTCTTAGACAAGTCTGAGACAAACCGTCTGCAAACCATACCATTTTTCTATGGATTTCTACTGATCTTAAACTCTGAAAATAGCCACATTGGGCCATATATACACCCAGCCTGAAGCTTCTTTTATCCAGGAAGATCTGTCCTACGTTTCATCAATTTATAGATTTTTAAACCTTGCTTCTTGATTATATTTGCTAATAAAATACTCTAGCAGTGTATAATTTCTTTATGGGCAGTTAATAAAACTTTGGGGAGTGAGAATGCATTTGTTTCAGTCAACTAAAAAAATGTTTTCAATGATAGAAGACACCTTTCAGTTCTTTAATCCATTTCCAGAGCAATTGCTAATAATTACCCAATTCAGCTAGGTAAATCTTCTTCCTCAATTTTGAAATACAGTCTCTGTTTCTTTTGGAAAGCATCCAATATTTGACATCTACCAAAGGTTTGTTTGTGCTGGTATAAAATTTATCTTACTGGTGTATGCTTCATTTTTTACTGAATTTAATAGCCAGTGTTAGTAACATTTTCCTTCTGTTCTTTTGGAAGATCAGAATCAAATTTTGTCTCCTTTATCTGAATACTTCATAATTCCATTCTTCAAAAGGCTCTTCTTAAGGAGGTAGCTGTGGGAACCATAATCTTACTACAATTATTAAGTTACAAAGCTATATACCACCAGCAAACCATCAAGAAATAATCACATACACCCGTGGTCACAAATTTAATCAATTCTAGGTTGAATGCTAAGAAAATTTTAATTGTGCAAATGTACTACATGAAATTTCAAATATAAATGGCAGTACCATCAGTAGTGTTATCAAAATGTATAATACAGGAATACTTCCTTTAAAAGATATAAAAATGGTATTCGGGAGCCATAAATCTTAGTATGAGCATATGTAGTGATTCATTCATGCAAAGTTTTATACGGCAATAGGCTTTTTTCTTTTGAAGAATTCCATTGTAGCTGAGATGAAAAATGTATTATGATAATATATAGCTTTCTTCTATTTTTCTTTTCATGTTAGGATGGCTAGAAGCTTATTTTAAATGCCCAACTGACACAATGTGCTTTCAGGAAGGAGGAGGCTGCCATGTACTGCATCATCTGACCTCATTCTGCATGGCCACGTGCTAAGAGGGAGGCCAAAGTATTTCACATTTCAGGCAAGGAATGTCAGGGTTACTACGCTAGTTACCTGGCCAATCCCCCAGCTACCTTAACCCTGAAGTTTCTCATAAGATTCCATAGAGGCAGCACAGAACACATGCACGCCTCCTCATGAAAACTGGTGCCGGCTTTCTGCTCAGCAGCTTTGAAGAAAAAGCGTTGTGAGACTCATGCTTCCTGGCTTTGGGCATTATCAAGGATCTCCCACGCAGAGGGCCAGACTCTGATTTAGAAAACATCACAGGTGATGCTTGAGCCAACTACCAAGTCAGATGACTCCCATGGCAGCTGCCAGGAAAACATCTATGGCACCAGGGTACGGAGCAAAGATTCAGGGTTGCAGGACCCTGCAGCCTTAGAGAAGTGTGCGAAGTAGAGGATGCCCCACCCCCACAGCATGGAGCCAAAACTCTTCCACACTGGTAACTGTAGCCTTGAAGGAAGCCAGCTGCTTTGGGCCTGCCAGGGCATGATGCCAAGGGAGTGAAGAAAGGAACCCTCTGTGGAAGGCATGGGGGAGATGGGGTTGGCAAGGGGTGGAAGTATCCACCTCCCACCCCCTCTCATCCCCTCTACTAGAGTAGAGGAGTGACGCCAAGAATGTTCCGTCCAATCAGATAAATTGGTTGGGTATCTCTTCAGACTCCAGAACACTCAGAAATGGCAATTCTGACAAAAGAGGCTCTGTCAGAGATGATCTGGGTGACAGACTGCAGTTAAAAACATCATCTATTGAACCTGAAAAACAGTAAGACACTCATTATTACCAGTACTGCCAAAAAGAAAAAAGAAAAGAAAAGAGTGCTTCTAAAACTTGTACAACATAGCCATTCAATAACTAATGGAGAATCCCGGCCCCCACAGAGAAACTCAAAAGGCTAAACTGAAATGTGTTGCTTTTTGCCTATCAGCGGGACAGGGCTGTCACTTTGCTTTTTTGCAAGCTGGAGATTTGCCCTGAGCTGCATACATTCTTTCTCACTTGACGGCAGAAGGCCCACATCTGGGGAATAGATGCTCAGGACAGAGGTCAGGTTTTGAAGGGGATGGAGCTGGTGGCCCTGTGCTCAGCCTGGGGTGGGTCTGACTGCCAGCACAGCAGGTCCCTCTTGGCTCTGCCATCTGCAGTGCACGTGGCAGCTTCCAGGACGGGTCCTGCCTGACCCACTGTCTAGAGCTGAAGGCATCCTAGGGCTGGCTCAGACAAACTCCCAGGGAAGTCCTTCCAACTTCCCATGTGCCGCAGTGTCCCCGAGATGGCTATAGACGGCCTAGACAGGTTACAGGACAGGGAGCAAGCCACAGTGAAACGGGAAAAGTTCCCAGGCTTCTGCGGCCAGTGGTGGGGTAAGCATGCCATGGAGGGACCAGGCAAGTGTCACCACCACAACAGGGCGCATTATCTTCCCTGGAAGGAGCCGAGCACAATTCCCCTGTAGCTGCAATGGGGGAAGCACAGCTGCATCTCTGTGAGAAACCCCCAGCCAGAGGAAGCTAATGCAACATGGAGAGAGGCAGAAGGACAGACAGACATAGGGTGGGGAACACAGAGATGGACAGGGGCAGCCTAGAGGGACAGAGAGACAGAGAGATTCAGAGACAGAGATGGAGAGACACTGACAGAGGATGGGATGGAGGGAAGGAGAGAGGAAGGGGAAAGAGACCGCTTCTAGAAGAAACAGCTGAGAGTAAGCATTTCTGCTACAAACACTGGAAGAAAACAGCTGTCACTACATACAAATAATGAAGACTGCAGTTCGCATCTGCACTTTAAGAACACTGCAGGTTCATGGAGACTGGCAGTTTTCTGCAATAAGCAACAAGGGTCCTGATTCAAGGAAGCCGCACTGTCCCAGGCAAGGCTGCCGCAGAGAATGGGCTCCACAAAAGACACATCCAGACAAGACACGATCCGTGCCATCTGCTTGAGCCACATGGATATCAAAATTGAGAACCCACCATATGTCAGTTACAGTTTGTTAAGTGACACCTTCTCAAGAGAATCTCTTTTGTAGTCTTACAAAATCTGGAGAACCCTTCCACAAATTGTTAAAGATAGGTATCACGACCATGTAGTCTCTTCCCCAACTGACAGATTTAGGGAACATTCTGTTGTCCAAAATATGCACAGAGGGAAATCGGCATTATTTTATGATATTTAAATGAGCATCAATAGTCACTGAAGTTAATAATGTTTAAGATGATTTTCTGGGTATGCTGTACAATATAATTGCTATGTCAGAAAATTTAAAGGAGCCTAAGAAGAAAGGCCTTTCTCTGTCTCTCTCTCTCTCTTTCTCTCTCCCTCTCTCTCTCTCTCTCTCTCTCTTTCTCAAAGACAGGGTCACACTATATTGTCCACGCTGCTGGTCTTGAACTCCTGGTCACAAGTGATCTTCCCATCTCATGCACCAAGGTACCTGATTTCTCTTTTTGTTAATGAGCATTTCTCAATTCTTTCTGAATTATATATGTCTCTTTTACCACTAGATCTTGCCTCTTGGTTTCTCCATTGATTTTCTTCCTACATTATATTATTCCACTCTGATTAAACTATCTTTCACAAGCCCTTGAGGATTTTTCACACACCTCTGGAAGTTACACTGAATTTTCGGTCAGAGAAACTGCTCCTTCGGATGAAAGGTTCACTCATTTTTTCCAGAAATAACTTAATTGTCTCTTTCTTTTCTGGGCTTGTACTTGACAAATTCAGAACTTTTCCGTTCACTTTCACAGTGGAATTGCTGAGGCCAAACCAATAGAAAAAATCAAATAAGGCATCAGCTTTGAATTCGTACACAAAGCTCAGATTTTCTCCGTTAATCACTTCAGTTCCTGGAGGGAAAAAATTCTTCACTACTTCTTGAAAATCAAACTGAAAGACAAAGAAACATTTAAATGTTTAACATTTAAACATTTGTGAAAAACTATTATACTGACATTATAGAATTAATATCCAAAATATCATACTCTTTATTTCTCTTTTACTTTTTAAAATTTTATCTTTATATTTAAAAAACAGATCCTTGCTTCTGCATTTTATTTCCTTTTAAACTTTGAACTGCTTGGCCAAAATCACACTTCCTTGTACCTCATTCCTAAAATGTCACTAGAAACGAAGCCCACTTTACTGGCGGTTCTGACATAACAGAGAATGAAATGTCTGAATATAAAACAATTCCCCTTTATCCATGGTTTTGCTTTCTGCAATTTCAGGTCACTGTGGTCTGAAAATATAACATGGAAAACTGCAGAAAGAAATACTTTACAAGTTTTAAAATAGAACTTTTATTTGTTCTATTTTATTGTTACTATTCATCTCTCACTGAGCCTAATGTATAAATAAAACTCTGTCATACATATGTATGTATAGAAAAAGCCATGGCACATACATATAAGGTTTGGTACCCTGCGCAGTTCCAGGCATGTGTGTGACATATTAGGGGCCTACCGCCATGAAGCACAGGCTACAGGGACATAGCCTTTGGGTGTGGGTGGCCTCCAGGCAGGGCGGTAGGCTTACCTGCAGTCGGTAACTTTCTCCAATCACCGAGGAGATGACCATGTCCATCCCCTGCTCTAGCTGTCTTCTTATCTTGGGGTGCCTTGTGTTCACAAGAAACGCATATGTCTTTTCTAGAAATCAGCAAACAAAATTCAGAAAGAAGTGTGTACATGTGACATAAACACGCTTCGCAGGATTTGTTAAAGCAGTAAACTTTGGAGTAAATCTTTGGAGACTTTACTCATATATAAGCCTCCTTCTGGTTCCTTCAAGCCCTTACTGCAACATTTAAGGAGATTTCTAGAAACATTTCCAAGAATTTTGCAGGTTTGAAGGCAGCTCGGGGCTACTGTAAAAGCAGGTTAGCAAATCAGCTCCCTCGAGAGTATGGTTTGTCACCTGTGTGTCAGAAATCAAAAGTTCCACTCTGTAATTATCCCAGATAAGAAGTCTCCTGCACAGCACGAATCCAGCATGGGGAAGGAAGGCGAAAATCAACATGGCTGGTTTTCAGCTCCCACCTTGCTGGGTATTTAAATCACAGCTTATCTCTCACCAATATTTCCTCATTTGCAAAGCAGAAAATCAGCAAAGTCTAAGGAAAGGGGCTACCCTATGCCTTCCACTACCACCTCCACTTCCCAGCTTCACCAGGAACCTGGCACTCTTTCTGTCAAATTTGGACAGTTTGGGGTTCAAAGGATCAAGGCAACATGAAATTAAGTTTCTTCCCTGCTCCTAACCCTAACATATTTCCAAGGGAGAAAAAAAATGTCCTTCCCAGCAACTGGGATGGGGGAAAGGAGAAAAGAAAGAAAGAAGGTGGC